GCCCAACAAATTGAACTACATATGCTTTTCAATGACTCATTTATAAAACAGCTGATTTGATACTCCCATTGCATGGAAGCTGGCCAGTGTTGCAATATAGGAAACAATTCAATTCTAAACATAGCTCACTGAGATTTCTATATTGAAAAGCCACTGTTGTCCTTTAGAAAACCACTGAAATGAATTTAGTGGCTGGGAAAACTGCCAGACAAACAGAAATAAAAACCAACTCCTTTAAACCATAGAATTACAACATCAAAGTAAGCATAATTACCACTCTTCATATCTTTGTCCTGCTGGCCACTTCAACTCTGCCCTCACAGAGAATCTAAGTTTTTAGAGTGACAAACTAGGCTGAATTTTGGCTTTAGAACATTCAAATTTTCCAATACTGTTATCTGCAAATTAAACATCCTTCTCTACATTACACTTTTAGTTATAGAAAACTAATAATATCTCATATTATTAATGTATACACACATTTATCCCATGTATAAATATTTAAAATTAATACTAAAATTAAAAAGCAATGGTCTACTTAGTGGTGAAAATCCAAAGACATTGAAATTAAAATTAGAATAATGTTAAATAGACTTCTCTTGACCAATAGTTTTAACCTTGGTATAAACATAAAAATATACTTAAGAAAAAGATAATATCAATATTGGAAAAGTGGAAAAAAATTATTTTTTAACATTAAAAGAATATACTTAACTGGAAGAAAACTATTGAAATTTATTAGATAATTTGTAAGTTTTGAGGTCATACAACAGGTAAATAAAAAACCAATAGATTTAATATAAAATAAAAACATTTGAAAATAAATTTCAATGTTGACCCATTCAAAATGAGATGTCTATATGTATACATATATAATTTGCAACAAGTATGAAATGCACAGGTTCTATATGAAGATAAGTAAAAACCACTGTTAAATACCTTAAAGAAGATTTGAATAAAGGGACATATGATGGGGATCAAACTATTTAATTGTATAAAGATATTAATTATTCTCGTTAAGAATCATGTAGTATTCGATCAAAATCGATCGTATTTCTCAGCATTTTGAGGATACTTGTGCTTATGTATACCATAATTTAAAATTTTAATTTATGTAAAAGTAATAAATATTATAAAATATATGTAGCAAAACTTTTTTTTAAGATTTTATTTATTTATTTGACACAGAGAGAGAGAGAGAGACAGTGAGAGAGGGAATACAAGCAGGGGGAGTGAGAGAGGGAGAAGCAGGCTACCCACTGAGCAGGGAGCCCGATGCGGGACTCAATCCCAGGACTCCGGAATCTGGACCTGAATCGAAGGCAGATGCTTATCGACTAAGCCACCCAGGTGCCCCTGTAGCAAAACTTCTAAATGCTATGTGCTAAAAAGGCAGAATGTATTTTATATAATTAGATTTTATGTGACTTTTATTTAAGTTATTTACTTTTTGCTTATTTTTATTATTTTAAATTTAAAATCATAATCTCCCCTTAGAACTTTTTTCTTTTTTTAAAGATTTTATTTATTTGACAGAGAGAGAGAGACAGTGAGAGAAGGAACACAAGCAGGGGGAGTAGGAGGAGGAGAAGCAGGCTCCACGCCAAGCAGGGAGACGGATGAGGGGCTGGATCCCAGGACCCTGGGGTTAATGACCTGATTTGAAGGCAGAAGCTTAACGACAGAGCCACCCAGGAACCCCTGCCCTTAGAATTTTCTAACTAGAAAAAATTAATTATAGAAACACTTCAAAATGTTAGACATATAAAAGATTAAACTCAATGTTGGTTTGTGCATTTCTGAAGTTCAAAAATAAAAACAATGGTCCTTCAAGTCACTGGGGAAATTCAGATGTGCTGAACTAGGGAATTACAAATTAAAAGAAGAAAAAGTGTTTTGCTTAACAATAAATAAATAAATAAATAAATAAATAAATAAATCATCAAAACAATTGTATGCTATTTTATGAATTTGGCAATATTCACAAGTGCTATTCAATGTATTTTGGAGTGATTTCTCTTGTATCATAAGCACTCAGTGTATAATTTTGTTCTCTAGGTTTCTCTTTATTTTGTATTAGAATAAAATAATTTTACATCATTGTAATGACAAATGTATTCCAAAAAGCCATAATGTCTTTCATAGTTATTTAATTATTGGCTTATTCAGGATATCTTAAACTATGTTTTCATTTCACATTGATATTATATGCTTTGATTCCATTTTTCTTCAACCTCATATTCTACAAATAATTCTGTGAATGTTTCGATCAAAACCAGTATATTTGTAGGAGAAAGCAAAGTATTTCTCTCCTAGTATCTCCTCCAAACAACTCATAGTTTCCTTATGAATTAGTTGTTCCAAAATGTATAAGATAAAATTCAATGGAAAATGATCTTTTAAAATCTGTTATTACACAACCCTTAGAATATTGTTGACTGGAAATCATGCACAATTTTATAATAGTGATAATTGAGATTACTATATTGTTTATTTTGCTACATGACTTATAAAATATTGAGTCACTACCTCATTTAATTTAAATTATGAGCAAATGAGGTATTCTCCCTAATTATGTAGTCAAGATAACAAATTTAGGCTGAATAATTGACTGTAGTAGCAATGCAGAAATAGAAGGGGTTGAGTCAGGACTCAGATCCAAGAAATTTCTAGTTGAATCCTTTTTTTTTTTAAATGATAGAATCCTTCCAAAATATTAAAAAAAAAAAAACACTTATTTTTATTCACACCTACTATTGTTTTTGACTGGTAAATGGGCCATTGGTTGTAATACTTCATTTTGCAAGAAATGAAGAGAATGGTGTTATTAAGAAAGGGATCATAGTCTCACACAGTGCTTGTGTCATACCACATCATTCATAGCTTCTAACAACCCCTGAGATGAGACAATATCCTCTCTGAACAAATAAAAATCCCTTCAAGTGAGGTAGTTTTTGAAAGTCATTATATTGGAAAATAAAAAAGCAAGGATTTGAATCCAAGCCTAAACACACGGATATATGTGCTTCTCTTAAAACACTGCTCTGCATATCAGGTTTGACCACAAGGCTCTGTACTTTGAGTTCCACAGTAATTATTTATTTTCCCATTAGTCTCAGGAATTATCTCAAAATCTACAGCCTAGTATTATGCTAAATAAGGTAACTGTATATTTTATTTTTTATATTTTGTTCATAGATTATCATGTCACGCAAGTTGTGTTGACTTAATACATTTATTGAAAGATTTTTATTCTCCTTCAACTTTCTGGCCCATGGATAACTCTTAGTAAGTCAATAGTCAATAGTTAAAAGAAGCATACATCTAAATTCTGACTACAATAAATCTGTATGGGCAGGTCTTCAAAATCTTTTTTTTTTAAAGATTTTATTTTTATTTATTTGACAGAGAGAGAGAGCAACAGAGGGAACACAGGCAGGGGCAGAGGGAGAGGGAGAAGCAGGCTCTCTGCCAAGCAGGGAGCCCGATGTGGGGCTCGACCCCAGGACCCCAGGATGGTGACCCAAGCTGAAGGCAGATGCCCAATGACTGAGCCACCCAGGTGCCCCAAAATCTTGAATAAATCTAGGGTACACATTCTCTTACATCATTACTTTTTAAAAAATGTTTTAAATATTTGGGACATTTAGTGATTTAGGTGGTTATCCTTTCCATTCTCCAATTTTCTTTCTTTATTTTATTGGAAGAAATCAATTTGGTTCAGATATCAAAAGTGTAACTTCTAAATAGCATGCTCTTTTAAAAGAAAGTACAGATTTCATAAAGCATTCAGTTGTATGATAGCACAAATGGGAAACATCTCTGATCAAAATTAATTCAGTTGCATAACAGCCAATTTGTAACCAGGACAATAAATAACTGCTGACACTAAGTTTGGATGGAACATAATTTATCAGATAAAAACTAGAGGTCATGATGCATGTAAGGCAGCTCTCTGCAGTGCTGAATTTGGTTGCAAAATAATTTAACTAGGACTTTTGAAGCAATTAATTCATTAAAGGCTGCCATTTTTCAGCCAAACAAAACATTCCTTTTCCCTTCAAATATGAGGCAGACTGTGTCTGACCTATTAAATTCTCCAAGTATTTTACAGTTTATAGTTTAAAAATTTAGTGAGACAGATACAAACTAATCATGTCAAACACATTTTTACATACATATTTAAAACTTAAATTAGGCACAAATATATAAGATGGGCAACTATCTCTACAGAGACCACAGCTAACAAAGAAAAACTTGATAATCTGGAAGTTTTGGAAAATGTGTCCTTCTGGATGGCTCAATTTTAGAAAAGTGAAGTGTATAAAATAAAATATATCCTTATTTCAATTTAATGTACATGTATTTCTTCATCATAGAAGAAATCGTAGAATTTGCAATATTAATCATCCCTTAATGATGAATGTCTACAGTGTTATCAGTTATTATATTTTAGGGGAAGTCCAGTTGCAAAATGCAGACTGTGCATGTAGGTCTCAAAGATTATAACATTATTTTAGTATCTTCTAAAATTGAGTTTTAAAATATAATAATTGCAACTAAATTTCCTGTCACATGTTTTCTTATAAAATTGAATAGTAATAGTAATAATAAGTAAACCATTAAGTATAAGGCTAGTCCTTATATAATATTTACTTTGAATTATAAAAATAAATTACTTAGAGAAATTAAAATAGGATCAATTATTTCTAAACTTTTGTCTTTCAAGAGATATTTTCTTCTTGCTATAGATATTAACAAGTACATATTGATTTAGTTATTGATCTAAATGGTAGAATACAACTGTGAATTACACAGGCCAGGGCTCTCTTGTTAAGGAACTTGTAACTAGAAAAATACACAGGAATTGGGTCGGGGGTGGAGCAAGATGGCAGAGGAGTAGGAGACCTGGATTTCGTCTGGTCTCAGGAATTCAGCTGAATAGGGATCAAACCATTCTGAACACCTACAAACTCAACAGGAGATCGAAGAGGAGAGTAGCAACAACTCTCTGAACAGAGAAGCGACCACTTACTGGAAGGTAGGACATGCAGAGAAGTGAATCCGAGGCGATATTCGGGAGGATAGACAGAGGGGGAGGGAGCCTCCGTCGGCCGCTTCTGGCAAGTGATAGAGCCACGGAGCACAAATACGGACCTTTTAGAAGTCGGCTCCGCTAAGGGACATTGCTCCAGTGGCTAAGCGGGGGGTGGAATCCTCCCAGGACAGTGTGGTCTCAGGACCCTCGGGGTCACAGAAAGACCGGGGTGCCTGAGTGCAGCAGAGCTCCCAGGTATCAGAGTGGGGAAGCCGGCGGCAGAGACAGAGCCGAGGCGTGGGCTCTCAGCTCGGGTTGCCATAAACTGTGATCCATGGCCCAGTTGGGCCACTTCTCCGCCAGCAGGGACCCAACAAGCGGCAGGGCCGGGGAGACTCCCCTTCCTCCCCCAGGAGAAGCGGCAAAAGAGCACACCGCAGGGATCTGCTGTGTTTGGAGACTCCACACGGGGTCGGGTGCCAGAGATAGAAACGCTCGGTCACAGGCCGGGTGAGCACGGAGTGTGGCCGGAGACTGGGGAGATGGGAGTGACTGCTTTTCTCTGGGGGCACACTGAGGAGCGGTCCCCGAGTTCTCAGCTCCTCTGGGTGGGGTTTGGGAGGCCACCATTTTCACCCTGGTCCTCCAAAGCTGTACCGAGAGCTTGCAGGGAACAAAAGCTCCTGAGAGCAAACCAGAGCAGCTTGCTTAGCACGGACCGACAAGGGCGGGGCAATTCCGCCTCCAGCAAAGACATTTGGAAACCATGGCAACAGGCCCCTCCCCCAGAAAATCAGCAGGAACAGCCAGCAAGCCAAGACCAAGTTTACCGATCAAGGAGAACGGGAGAACTCCAGCGCTAGGGGAATACTGCACATAGAATTCATGGCTTTTTTTAAAGATGATTCATTAGTTCATTAGTACCATCATTCATTACCATAATTCATTTACTATAATTCATTAATTAATCAGAGTTAATTTTTTTAACTTTTTTTTTATTTTTCTTTTTCCCTTTTTCAACCAACATCTTATCAATCCCTTTTTTAAAAAAAACATTTTTTATTTTTCATTTTTAGAGTCATATTTTATCCCTTCATAGTAGTTACCCTTATTTTTGGCATATATATATATATAAGTTGTTCTCTCTTTAAAATTTTGAGATACAGTTTCTTCTAACAGATCAAAATATACCCTAAATCACTAATGTATGGCTTTGTTCTAGTCTCCTGCCTGATCACATTCTCTCCCTTTCTTTTTCTTTCTTTTTTTTTTTTAAATCTTCTTTCTTTTTTCAAACAACTTCTTATCTTATCAAATCCTTTTATAAAATCTTTTATAATTTTCATCTTTACAGTCATCTTCCATCCCTTCATTGTATCAACCATTATTTTGTACATATATGTCTTTCTTACATTAAAATTTTAGGAGGCACTTTTTGCTAACAGACCAAAATACGCCCAAAATCTAGTGTATGGCACTGATCTATGCACTAGACTGATCATATCTGATCATATTCTGCTTTTTTATATTGTTCTGTTTTTGTTTTTATCTTTATCCTTTTTTTTTTTCTCTTTCTTTTTTCTTTCTTTCCCTTTCTTTTCACCTGGTTTCAGGTCTTTTCCGATTTGGATAGAGTATATTTCCTGGGGATGTTGTTACCTGTTAGCATTTTCTTCTTTCATTCATCTATTCTACTCTGGATAAAATGACAAGATGAAAAAAATCACCTCAGCAGAAAGAAAAAGAGGTAGTACCGTCAGCCAGGGACCTACTTAATACGGACATTAGTATGATGTCGGACCTAGAGTTCAGAATCATGACTTTAAAGACACTAGCTGGGGGCGCCTGGGTGGCTCAGTTGGTTAAGCGACTGCCTTTGGCTCAGGTCATGATCCTGGAGTCCTGGGATCGAGTCCCACATCGGGCTCCCTGTTCGGCGGGGAGTCTACTTCTCCCTCTGACCCTCTTCCCTCTCATGCTCACTATCTCTCATTTTCTCTATATATAAATAAATAAAATCTTAAAATAAATAAATAAATAAATAAAGACACTAGCTGGGCTTGAAAAAAGCATGGAAGTTATTAGAGAAACCCTTTCTGGAGAAATAAAAGAACTAAAATCTAACCAAGTCGAAATCAAAGAGCCTATTAATGAGGTGCAATAAAAAAGGGGGGCACTAACCGCTAGGATAAATGAGGCAGAAGAGAGAATCAGCGATATAGAAGACCAAATGATGGAAAATAAAGAGGCTGACAAAAAGAGAGAGAAACAACTACAGGATCACGAGGGCAGAATTCGAGAGATAAGCGATATGATAAGACGAAACAACATTAGAATAATTGGGAACCCAGAAGAAGAAGAAAGAGAGAGAGGGACAGAAGGTATATTGGAACAAAATATAGCAGAGAACTTCCCTAATGTGAGGAAGGAAACAGGCATCAAAATCCAGGAGGCACAGAGAACCCCTCTCAAAATAAAAATAGGTCAACATCCCAACATCTAATAGTAAAACTTACGAGTCTCAGAGACAAAGATAAAATCCTAAAAGTAGCTCGGGAGAAGAGATATGTAACCTACAATGGTAGAAATATTAGATTGGCAACAGACCTATCCACAGAGACCTGGCAGGCCAGAAAGGATGGGCAAGATATCTTCAGAGCACTAACGAGAAAAATATGCAGCCAAGAATACTATATCCAGCAAGGCTGTCATTGAAAATAGAAGGAGAGATAAAAAACTTCCAGGACAAACAAAAACTAAAGGAATTTGCAAACACGAAGCCAGCCCTCCAAGAAATATTGAAAGGGGTCCTCTAAGCAAAGAGAGAGCCTAAAAGCAACATAGATCAGAAAGGAACACAGACAATATACAGGAACAGTCACCTTACAGGCAATACAATGGCACTAAATTCATACCTTTCAATATTTACCTGAATGTAAATGGGCTAAATGCCCCAATCAAAAGACACAGGCTATAAGATTGGATTAAAAAAAAAGATCCATCAATATGTTGTCTGCAAGAGACTCATTTTAGAGCCAAAGACACCCCCAGATTGCTAGTGAAGGTATGGAAAACAATTTACCATGCTAATGGACACCAAAAGAAAGCTGGTGTAGAAATCCTTATATCAGACAAAGTAGATTTTAAACCAAAGACTGTAATAAGAGATGAAGAAGGACACTATATCCTACTTAAAGAGACTATCCAACAAGAAGATCTAATAATTGTAAATATCTATGCCTCTAACATGGGAGCAGCCAATTATATAAGGCAATTAATAACAAAAGTGAAGAAACACATTCACAACAATACAATAATAGTGGGGGACATTAACACCCCCCTGACTGAAATGGACAGATCATGTGTAAGCAAAAGATCAACAAGGAAATAAGGACTTTAAATGACACACTGGACCAAATGGACTTAACAGACATATTCAGAACATTCCATCCCAAAGCAACGGAATACACATTCTTCTCTAGTGCCCATGGAACATTCTCCAGAATTGATCAAATCCTAGGTCACAAATCAGGTCTCAACCAGTACCAAAAGATTGGGATCATTCCCTGCATATTTTCAGACCACAATGCTTTGAAACTAGAACTCAATCACAAGAGGAAAGTCGGAAAGAACTCAAATACATGGAGGCTAAAGAGCATCCTACTAAAGAATGAATGGGTCAACCAGGATATTAAAGAAGAATTTAAAAAATTCATGGAAACCAATGAAAATGAAAACACAACTGTTCAAAATCTTTGAGATACAGCAAAGGCAGTCCTGAGAGGAAAGTATATAGCAATACAAGCCTTTCTCAAGAAACAAGAAAAGTCTCAATTACACAACCTAACCCTACACCTAAAGGAACTGGAGAAAGAACAGCAAATAAAGCCTAAACCCAGCAGGAGAAGAGAAATAATAAAGATGAGAGCAGAAATCAATGAACTAGAAACCAAAAGAACAGTAGAACAGATCAACGAAACTAGGAGCTGGTTCTTTGAAAGAATTCACAAGATTGATAAACCCTGGCCAGACTTATCAAAAAGAAAAGAGAAATGACCTAAATTAACAAAATCATGAATGAGAGGAGACATCACAACCAACACCAAAGACATACAAACAATTGTAAGAACATATATTGAGCAAATTTAGGCCAGCAAATTAGATAACCTGGAAGAAATGGGTGCATTCCTAGAGATGTATCAACTACCAAAATTGAACCAGGAAGAAATAGAAAACCTGAACAGACCTATAACCACTAAGGAAATTGAAGCAGTCATCAAAACTCTCTCAACAAACAAAAGCCCAGGGCCAGATGACTTCCCAGGGGAATTCTATCAGACATTCAAAGAAGAATTAATACCTATTCTCCTGAAACTGTTCCAAAAAATAGAAATGGAAGGAAAACTTCCAAACACATTTTATGAGGCCAGCATTACCTTGATCCCCAAACCCGACAAAGACCCCATCAAAAAGGAGAATTACAGACCAATATCCTTGATGAATATGGATGCAAAAATTCTCATCAAAATACTAGTGAATAGGATCCAACAGTACATTAAAGGATTATTCACCACGACCAAGTGCGATTAATCCCTGGGCTGCAAGGTTGGTTCAAGATCCGCAAATCAATCAGTGTGATACAATGCATTAAGAAGAGAAAGAACAAGAATGTTATGATCCTCTCAATAGATGCAGAAAAAGCATTTGACAAAGCACAACATCCTTTCTTGATCAAAACTCTTCACAGTATAGAGATAGAGGGTACATACCTCAATATCATAAAAGCCATCTATGAAAAACCCACAGCGAATATCATTCTTAATGGGGAAAAGCTGAGAGCTTTTCCCCTAAGGTCAGGAACGCGGCAGGGATGTCCACTATCACCACTGCTATTCAACATAGTATTAGAAGCCCTACCCACAACAATCAGACAACAGAAAGAAATCAAAGGCATTCAAATCGGCAAAAGGAAGTCAAACTCTCACTCTTTGCAAATGATATGA